CCAAGCCACACTAAGAACTTGTAGCAAATAGGAATTCGGCAGGAAAATAACGAAGAAAGGAATTGGAAGAAACACGGAGAAGTTAAGGAGCGAAGGGGAACAGAGGCAAGAGAGGGAGGGAGAGAATTACCACACGTTGTAGCAGAACCACCATGATTCCTAGTTGTTCATAAAATATCTTCCGAAGACATTATCGTATTTGCACCTCTGCACCATGCCTATCTTATAAGTAGCTATCAAGTGTTGCTTGAAACATGCCATTTGTTGACAAAGATCCTCAGACTTCCATGCCCATTACAAAATGTGACTCAATTTTCAGCCTTCCATCGGTATTACATCAAATATGCTTATTGGCACAAATTATACATGTTGTTTCTGCATGCAGCACAGACAAACGTGCTTACATGGAGGATTCCAATATTGGGGGCTAACGCACAGACATTGGGCGCAAATCATCCCGTGAAAATGAGGCTGGGAACTTTGGTGTGCCCACCTCATGAATATCACAAAAACCATGAGCATGTGAACAGCTTATCAAGGTGAAGCAGGCTCGTTTCAATTACAAAATTACTTCAGTATCAAAAAACAAAAGTTTCCTTTATGTTCTACTGAGGTAAGCCCGGATTGTACAAGAATCAAGATCTTCACAATCGACTTCCGGCCGAACCTGTCGATTCCGCCCGCTCTTCCAAAAGCACATTGTGGCGTTGTGAGACCAACAAGGAAGCACAGCCTTCTCTCAACCAGACCTGTTAGAAATCAGTGCCAAGCGGACGATGGCGTTTTTCTTTCCAATGGAAGGTTTTGGCAGAGTCAATACTTCTGCGGGTTGAGGTGTGGTGATTTGCGGGTTCATGTGATGGGTGTGCCTAGGTTGGGTTGATTGAGCTACATAACAGCCTGGTGTTCAGCTCTTCCAGCCTTTGCTCTCTTTCGAAAGATTTTTTTGCGAAGGCCGTGTATTATATGATAAGTGAGGAAAGGAATCATGGGGAACTACTCCTGGTGTTATACTAATTGCTGCGTGAGTTTTTTTTTTTAATAACCAATATGGGGAATCTTTCCACCTTTACGCACAAGTCTTGATCGCCTGATTTACTGACCGAAATATGGATATAGAATTGTATTTATGATGGAGTCAGCAGTGCTGGACAATCGAATCCAGAATATGGCATCTGTAATGTGTTGACGCAAGCGAGGTCGGCCTTCTCGACCTGCAGTGCGAAATATGGAGATTGTGGGGAGAATTTGAGTCGTGAGTGATTTATTTTCATTCTTCCATTTTTTATTATATGGGGGATGTATCGCACCAATTGTTGAGAGTAAATTATTATAAGCCGATGATAGAAGCTCAATCAGTCCTGTAGAGTCGACTCTACATCTCCTGGGATTAGAAAATGATCCGGAAGACTGAGAGTCTACTTCGAGTTTTTTTCCCATCTAGAAGATTCTCCTCCGTGAGAATTGATATTTTATAGACATTATATGAGTTAGTCTAACACGATTTAGAATTCAACTATGAGCTTTCAACCTGGTGTGTGTCAACATCAACAAAAACATCAACCACTTCGACGTCGAAGCCAACTACTCCTACAACGATAGTCACTACAACAAGTACTTCGAAGTCTAGCTCTACAACCAGTACAACTTCTAGCTCTCAGCCCACACCAACGATAACCAGCACCAAATCGAGCACGACTTCAACCACGTCCTCGAGTTTCACACCGACCACTACATCCAATACCTTCAGTTCTATCATTACTGTACCAACATCCTCCATTGTGAGCAGTCACATTCTAATTGTGAGGCTCTTTAGATGCTAATACCAACAGACCTCTAGTAGCACAACCTCGTCTTCGTCCTCGTCCTCGACGTCCTCGAAATCAACAAGTACCACAACTGCACCTACTATTGTGATTTCATACGTCACTCCATCTGTAGCCTCTGCAACTACAACATCGACATCTTCCACCCATTCTGCTATTCCCCAATACACGGCTGGAGGGAATCTCCTTGTGGGATACTGCGCAACTCCGTATTTTACTGTGATCCCGGGACCAACTACGGACCTATTCGTTGGCGTGGTAGGATGTGTGGGGGATAAAGGAGATTGTTGCCCATTCGCTGTGGCTTCTACACATGCTAATACTGCCACTTCCACCGGGCCATCATTTACAACCGTGACCCTCGGAGCCACTACGACGAGTAATAGTTTCGGTGCAATCAATCAAAATGTGGCATTCCCAACGGCGCTTGATGCTCAAGCTGGAGTTTTGGATAAATGTCCAGGCGATTATCAATTACTTGGGAATCAGTGCTGCCCCTCGAACTATCTCCTCTTCTCCACGATGCTAGGGGGACAGACCCCATGTTACTCAACCATAACTCCGTATCTCACCCCACCACCCCTTGTGGCCGCAACTTCTACAGGTGTAACAGCCAAGCCAACCCAAGCTGTAGTTAATGTTGTTTATGCAATGGCATATCCTGTCAAAACTGCAACTCCCTCAGGGGGAATGCCCACAGCGGCAAAAGCCGGGATTGGGGGCGGGGTTGGTGCAGTTGCACTTATTGCTCTTCTCGCACTTGGTGCATTTTTTTGGCGAAAGAAAAGCCAAAAGAAACGGGAAAGTACACTATTTGCTCAAACTAGTCAAGGGACACCCGGCCAGAGTACACTCAACAGTGGAGGATTTTCTGGAACACCAGCCAGCAGAGTTAGCGAAATGTACCAGTCTCCACCACCACCACAACCGGCTGGTCTTGCAACAAATAGCAATATAATGGGATACCCACCCGGATACGCTCCAGTTGTTGGACAATTTGATCGTGATCAAGGACGAAGATACAACAATGTATCCCCAGTTGAACGAGGGATGAGTGTCAGTCCACCAGACCAGCAATACCAAACTTACCCACCAAATACCAACCCATTACGAATGTCCGATCAATACAACTACCCACCACAGAACCAACAGCAATACTCCCCTAATCCTGGTGAAAGTGGATATTTCCCGCCCAGCCAACAACCACAGTACCCAACTGAGCCTCCCCCAATGTCCCAACAACCAACCTATCCCATACCTGTCTCCGAAATTCAAGCCCCAGCACGAGCACAAACAATTCAACGTGTTCCAGTACCAGCGCCTCGACCCGTCTCCAGCTCCCCAGAACCAGTCTACAGACCTAGAGTCCTAGCCACAGTCCCACCAGAAGGTCTGTATGGCGATGCACCACCCAGTCCTCCTTCTACAGTCTCAGCAGGTGCGAATGGTTCCGGTACTGGGCCTGGAAGCGGTAGAGGTGTGAGCACAGCAAGTCGTTTGAGCGGTGCTGCGACGGCGTACAGCGGGCGAGAATTGGAGAGCGGTAGGTTCACGCCTGTTGATTTCGGCCTACCACCTGGAGAGCTGGATGGCGCACCGAGTACCGTTAGTAGTGGTACTGGGCCAGGGAGCGCAAGGCCTGGGATGAGTGGGATGAGCCATAATAGTTGGGGGCCGGCGGATGATGTTTATGAGGTTGAAGGGCATGGGAGACGGTAGTCGTGGGGTAATAAAACTTGGTGACGGCAATTTGCATCCATCACGAGATTCGAAGGGTACAATGAGGAGGAAGGTGATTCGTAATATTATATGTGATACCCTTCGTATATGCATCATTTTGGATGTCTTGAATACGGCCGGAAATAAAATATGATGCAATAACGTTATACTTCGAAGTAGATTTTAATGATTAGTACATAATGAACAACTCTCAAAAATGCATCCAGCATGCTACCAGTCGAAATACTCTCGCAATAGATAACATATATTTGCTAAATTATTCTGCAACTCAGCTCAGGTTCTAGTCAAGTTCTGCAAAGACCCTTCAGAATTTCCCCAATTATGTGGGAGCTATAGGCCTGCAGGTAACTAGAGTTTTAGAAGTACTCTTTCAAGCTTTATCAATGGTGTTGGCATTTGTTAGACCTTTTGTAGAGCTGCTGCTTTGAAGTGTCGAATATGACAGGGTGGCAGTCGTTACCTGCACTAGTTGATCAAAGCCCAAGTCCAATCGCCGCACCCACGCAATATATTCCCTATACATCTATGTACCAAAAACATTTCATCTAATACGTGACATTATACTAGGAGTAGGTCTTTTCGATCTGCTGGTCTCATTAAGGTGCTGATTCTCTCCCAGCAAAAACGCAGACTGTGGAATTTATGAAAGTATGAATTCATCACACATAGAATTTAAGTGAAGTTGATCTGATATACTAGTAGACGGCTATGGAGTGTGGGAGCGAAATCATGGTAGAGGGAAGTTTGTAGGGCTGTGGCATAAAATGATGAGGTTAACGAGGTTTTAGACTTTCTTGTCTTCCTGTAGAGTGCAAATACATATGTGAAGCTTACTCGAGAATGCAAATATCTATAAACCTGTTAGTACTGGGGTCCCAAATCAAAACATGGTTCCATCCCTCTCAGAAGTAAATGTTAAAGAGATGGAGATGCTCTCGAGACTTCGAGACATGGGGGACAGAGTGAACGTGAATCGAGGCAGTGAACACGAATAGCGGTGTAGAGGTTAAAGGCTAAAGCACTCTAAACTTAGTATAGGTTCGTGAGGAAATGACCTCCTACTTCAGACAAGAAATGTGAGCTGAAACTCATAGTCTTAAAGAAAGGATACAGTGACACTAGGGAGCATGAGTTGAAGAGAAAAGATTACGCATGGGAATACTAACAACCTAACAATCTAAAGCAGGCTCTCGAACCTTTTCGATGCTCAGAAATATTCCTATTTCCAAATGAAAATATCCAAGCGTACAAGTTTGTCCTTTTAGAAAATGTGACTGGATAAGAAAAGGTTTTGTGGGTGGGTCACCGAAAAACCATTGAGTCATCCTGTCAATACTCTCCACTCAAATCCCACTGTTCCGCCGAAACCTTTTAGCCATATGTAAAGTCAAATAAGCAGATGTGGATCAAAAACAAGCCAAATCAATGGCTCTAGGTGGTGTGGTGTAATGGTAGCACGTGACGTTGTGGTTCTTCCTCTCATCGGGAAAATTACACTGATCCGTTTCAATCTGGGTTCGATTCCCAGCACCGCCAGAATTTCAGATTCTGGATTGAAGTTGAGGTGGTTTGATTCCATCAATACGATCAATTTTTGAATTTTTGTTAAATCGTGATTTGGTGGTGTTGATTACTCGCTTAACTTTTTAGTGGGTGGGGGACAAGGGAGAGTCACCTTTGAATTGACGGTTCCGATTTAATGGTTTGTAGTCAACATTACCTAGTAGAATGAAATTGGATTTGGATAGACTTGTCTTTATTCCTTCAACACCTGATTTCGCTAAGCCAAGAAACAGGTAAGTTACTTGTCAAGCGGCTAAAACTAAAGACATCATTTTGGCTAGACTCTACCGCTAAATACTGCTCTACACACTGAGATCGCACAACACATTAAAACACTCATTCATAACATTTACAATCAGATGTTCTGTTATGCACTAAGCTGCTCCTTGATATGTCACTCCATGCTGTTATTTTGACATATGTAAGCAAGGTGAACTAAATAAGCAGGAGTTTACTACGACAAATGCATGAACCATCCATGCAGTAACTGTCCGGAGAGGGGGCATCTAGCGAGTTGCAGTAGAAATCTGGCTGATGCATCCTGCCAGGGCAACTACGACACAAGGAGGTACCAATCCCACTTCACTTCGAATAATGCCGGGCTAATGTAGGATTGACACTTTCCTTGGTAACGATGTATTTGAACGAGGATGTCTTGAAGAAGTCTTCAGTGCCATATATAAAAATTGAATCATCTTGTTATTCAAGAGATCAGCGTATGCTATCAGGCACAAAGATTTATTTTTCTTTGGGTTCACCCATCAAGGCAGATAAGACGCATAATTCCTGGCTATTAAATCCACTATGAGTTGCAACAAATAAATTTTTATATTTCCAGAAGTAAGAGGAAATACAAACCCAGGAGTTCTCGACACGAAGAAACAAAACTCACGAAATGCTTAGGCATAACCCACCAATTGATAAAGGAGTGCTAATAGTATCTTAAGCTCCACGAAGTACTCCCCGCAAAAACCCACTCTGAACTAGCCTTACATGAAACATATGCATTACATCTGCCAGAACGCCTTGGAGTTCTCCTGTCTCCGTCCTACCACAGCTTGATACAAAGGATCCATTCATCTTGATTGGTTTGTGATCAGATGAAGAAGTAAGCTTAGGGCGCCTGGGGTGCTTAAGGCTAAGACAGGGCTTGCACGGTCTCCATCACTCTGGATTAGTTAATGATTATTATTTTCTCAAAACGGATTTATCCGAACTATTTCGTGTAACAACTATGAGCACTTCACGTCGGGGCTTAAGAAGGACGAACACCCTTCTCCTCCGTACCGATAGGGCTCTGCCTTCTGAGCCCCTGTCCTTCTTCATCATGTAGCCACAGTTATTTCTTCGCGTCGTGAGCAATGAACCGATCGGAATCATTTTTTTCTTGTGCCGTGTTCTCTGCGAAGGACTCCCGGGGGGGGGGTCATCTCAGTACCTGGCGAGTCCGCAGGCAAATTTTCAAATAACAGTGAACAAAGCCTTACATATCTACCTCTATACCTGAAGAAATTAGGTAGAAGGGGGAATATAGGTAAGTGAATCGGTAGCTATATTCCATAGCAGTAGTGACCAAATGTTCTGGCGGGGAGACTACATAAACAAGGGTGGAGGAGAAGCCGGCTTTGGTAGTAACAGGGGAGTCGTGCGCCCACTGTTCTGTTCGCCTCGATGGCTGCAGGATGCAGAAACGGACCAACCCCTGTACAATAAAGGTTCAACGAATTTCTATAAAGGTCATGTTTCCTGATCTTGTCAATTGGGAATGTAGATTGCATTTTCTCTATACTCTATCTCAGCTAAGGCTGGAAGGCTTGCAGATATATTATGGGATTATCTCTTTCACCTACTTTAAATTCACCCAGCCTTCACAAAATCTCCTGTAAGTCTGAGTGATAAGTAGGCTGCTCCTATAACTTATTAACGGTTCATAATTTCAGATTTAACTCCTCGTATTTTCTCCTGGGAGAACTAACTAAAGCAAATCTCGAACACCATGTCGACTCCATTTCCAAAGATTCTCCCTCGGGACTTAACAACTGATAACAAATTGAACTTGATATTTGGAATCTTCGCAGTAACAGTTGGTACCTTGAGCTGCCTCTTAGCATGGGCTACATGGAAACTTGCCTATACCCGTCGCGCAAAACGAGAGGATCATCGAGGTCCGTCAGACAAATTCAAACCCGATTGTTTGTTGATGGATATTCATGCTGATGTTGTCAAAAGATGTGGGACTTGATGAGCAAGAAGGATTTGGGCAGCAGCAAGCGGTTTTACAAGTTGGGCGTGGTTATGAGCTGACGCTAAGGGTTGGAAGGGGTGCTTAAATCCTGCAATACAATAGGGAATGAAATAGAAATGATGAATCAAGGATCCATTCTCTAAATTTATGTAGTAGAGACTGCAAGGCTGTAACTAAAGGATTGCCTCTCTTTCCTTCATAACAAGAAATGCCCATAGATTTTATAATCTTTTAAAAGTCATCAAAGAAGAACAATAAGAAGTTCTCGTGACTTGTGACCATAAGCAGGATCATCTTGGATGATGTTCAAAAGCCCATCCCTTTGATTGACATTTTTGGTCGAGGCAGGCTTATTGTGCATCGATTGCAGACATGGATAGGTACGGCAATGATGCATGCGCGAATTGAACGGTTCCGCGAAGCGGAAAGCAACAGGGTCCTTGGCTCCTGCATCTATACCAAAGCCTTCAGGATTCTCGGATGGGCTAGCTGCAGAGAGCGCCACGGCATTGTACGATTATGAGGCACAAGCGGAAGGATATTTGCCCTCCCAACTAAAAAGCTTATCTAACAGATAACGATAAAAAGCAGCGAGGATGAACAGTGGATTGGAAGGATTATTGGAGAGCTAGGGCAATCCCCAGGCTGTATCCGCAATATTGTTTGGGCGAGGTGCAACATGCCACAGAGCCTCGTCTCATTGAAGCATTAGAGACCGGTGTCTTATTAGAAAACGGAAAATAATAAAATTGATGGGAGCAAAGCGCTGTATGGTTATGACAGCCAACTAGATTTATAGATATTGCTTATCCTAGCTGGTGCTTTCATCTTCAACCCGATCTCTCTGACGTATAGCATTCTCTCCCTAGAGACACTGCTGGTAATGATCAAGCCCTAAATACCAGAGAAATACCTATTCATACTATCTTCAATTATCTCAACTGCATCTTCTCAGACACTCACATGACTGGTCAAACATAATTCTTCGTCAAGAGTCCGTGGCAATTCGAACTGCAACGACATGAATTGACATAGAAAATTCATATTATTTCCCGTGGAGGAGTTTCGGTATAAGTAAGATAATAGTTGACATGATCTCCGCGCTCCTGGGGCTATCAATAGATCTTTTCGTAGAAAAATAGCAAAAATTATATGGGGAAGGACTTTAAGTCCACCGATGGACTTCAAGTCTTGACTCCCAGGCTTAGGTTATGCTGGGTGGCGCGGCCGTACGTTCAGCCTGATACTCATACCTCCAAGTCATCCCCCCATCTGCATATATACCCCAGAGGAGGATGTCAATTGTATCCAAAGAAATTCAACCGTGTTGATAAGTTGTTGCGAATCCATTTTCACCTCCAATGAACTAGGAAGGTTAACGTAAGGGTTTAGCATAAGAGCAGCTTGTGTCACGCTGTATTTCCTTTCCTGATGAGGCTACTATTTTTTACCAGATGCTCATCACTTTAAGAATCAACCGCGGGTGGGAAGAATTGTTTGACGATACAATATGCCAGCACAACGCCTCTTCCCCACCCCTATTACCGATCGACGCCACTTCTCCACTCCGCTCATGTCTCTTCTAGCTCCATAGAGTGCATCATCGAGTCAGCACAACCATGTAGGGACCAGGCTCGAACGTTGCTGAGTCTTACCTCCATCACAACCTTGCCAAACCTCAGAACCTCCCGCACCGTTACTGCTAGACTCACTATTTGTTACTTCTTTCCTCTCAATCTTCTATTGTTACGAGCCCGCTTCAAAAATAATACACAGTGGTGCAAAGGCTTTGCTAAACGAAGGGTTCACTATGACAATTGATATTCTTGCCTAGATGACCAGGATCGCAAGTACCTTCTTCGGTGTGGGTGAGTTGGAAGACCAATCATAGGTGAAGGCACGATAGTAAATAACTGGGCTCCATTTGAATAGTTATTGATGAGTTAGCAGGAACTTAAACCGAATAGTGACAGGAAAGGTTGAAGAAGGGAGGAATTTTTGAACTTGGTGGTTGAATAACCGTCGGCGTGGTGAAAATGGCGAGACTCACTTTACATGGCCAAATTCAAGCATTCGTGCTGCAACGTAGCTCAGGATTATTGTTGAGTGTAATGCCGAAAACTTGCAGTGCCCTTTGACATTTGCCAAAAGAGTAATACCCTCAAAACATAGTTGGGAATACATAGCAGGAGGGAAAATTAATTCTTTTTCATCACGTAATCTGTATTGATACACATTATCACCAAATCCATCGATGTCTCCATGCTCTCGTCTTTTCAGTATTATGTCTTCCTCGTCACAACTTCCAAATAAGAAAATGCGTGATTAACGCAAGAGTTTAAGAACAAAAATCTTATCTGATCTCAAATCCAACTCCATAAATATCAACGAGAAAAAGGTCTGTCTTAATACAATCCATGCAGAGTCCATGCTTTCGCTTCTTTTAAACACCAAATACGCCTAATATATCCATCACTCGAATAGTAGCAATTATCTTAAATTTAAATCCGACTTCAATCGTCTCTTCTCCCTGTAAGTATGCAAAAATGGAAATGCTTCGCTTTGATGATAATCATGTGATAGTGTAGTCTCCCCCAAACCAACGAAAACGCAATGAGTTGCAATGTAATGTCTAAAATTCCCAGGCAATATGCAATGGGAAAGATGTGTGGAAAGCTTAGTGAAGTTTCTCCTTCAAATATACCACGGCAGCATATCCTGCACAGCA